TTAATTTTTAGGATGGTGCAGCTGGAAGCAAGAGAAAAAGAGAAAGAGGAAATGAGATGAGAAATACTGAAGGAGAGAATGTGCAGCTCCCCTTTACCCTCTAACAAAATCCGATCCCCACTTTAATGAATGCGTTTTCATGTCTGGTCCTGTCTGCCAATCCTTCCAGACGGCACCAAGGTGCTTCAAGACAAGGCAGCAGGTCCTTGTAGAGCATCAAGGGCTCAGTCTGAGCCTGGAGGGTCTTGTTGTGGCCGATTCCACCTAATCCTGTTGATTAATTTAACTCCAGGGCTAAGAGGCACCCAGAAGCAGTGAATGGAAGTGGAGAGGAGAAAGGCGGAGGGGGAGGAAGGGAAATAGAGGAGTGAAGGGAATGGGGAGAGGGAGGACATACCCAGTCCATAATTACAGAGGGTTTTTCTTGTTCCTTTCCTCAAGGTCCAGTCCACTTCTATTCCTTTCAAACCCCTCAAGAGAGCTCTGCCCAGCTCTTGCTAATTGTACCCCAACCTGAATTGGCAGCATTATTCAGGAATGTGAGTTTGTGGGCCATAATTTACACATTTTCTCATGCTAGAATGGGTCTTAGGACAAGCCTGGGCTTATATTTGTCACCTTTTCCGTAGCATCCTATGCACACCCCTGCGCACATATTCTGCCTGTGCTCATTTCCATGGGGAGGAAGAACCATTTTGGTTTATTCAGTTTTCCCCAGCTCATCCTCCCTGAAGATGTGGGACTTGACATTGGTCCACACAAACCTTCAGCAAGTCCCTTCACACGGCCATCTCTCCCCTTTGCACGAGCCATGTTGTATCTCTGCTCCAGGAAGGTGCCTGCACATTTGAATAACCCCCTCTGAGCAGAGGGAAGAAAGAGCTTATGAGTTTTCACCCTGGCAAACTTGCTTTCATTCCCATAATGAAGCTTTTGTCTCTTTATTTCTGCGAGTATTACAAGGCAAAGAGATTTGAGCAGTTTGTTTTGTTTCTTTCTGAGCTACAGAGCAGTTACGCTAAATAATAAAGATAGAATTGCTCTTAAAATAAAAATAGCAGGATCAGCATGTGTGTCCTGTAATGTGCACACTTTTCTCTTAGTTTTTCCTTTTCTCTGACTTGTCCTCCCATGAGATTTTTCCCTTCATTCACCTCTCCATTCTGTTCTTTTCTGTCAGTCTTTAGCCAGTATGATATCCTAGGGGAGCTGCGTATCGGACAGCTAGCTGTTTCCCATCCTTCATCACAACTAATGATTGGTAAGCCACACAAGAAGTTGCTGCTAAATATTTCTCCACCTTTGTATTTACAGGGTGTTCATTGCTCTCCATGCTGAGTAAGTGTAAAACACTACCAGTGCATGATAATGATTGTTTTTACGGCAATAGCCCTGTTGTGCTGGAAGCTGCAGACTAGGATTCACCCCCTGCTCATGCTGCTGGCAGGGCTACACATCCATTTTTCACACAGGAATGTGGGGCAAAAAATGAAGCATTCAAGTTCTGGATGAATCCCCCTGGGCTTGCCTGGCGAGGGAGTCTCCTTCAGTTACTCCTGCGGCTTTGTAAAACTTCTAATTGCACAGAACTTTGTGGAGGTTACAGCAGTGGTTTGTCCAGCAGATTTCAGCTGTTTAGAAATGGAAAAGACCTGTTAGATCCTTGAGTTGCATCTTAGGCAGGTAAGGGAGACTGTCCCCTGCTAATAGGGGATGCATTAGATAATGGCTTGTCCTGCAGTCTGTCTCAGCTGAAAGACTTTCTATATTATTTAATGAATCTGTGTCTGACAGCAGCAGCTGCAGCATACCAAGACCAGCTGGTTCCAGACATACCCTGGGATTTTTCTTGCTCTCTTGGTTTCATCTTTGTAGTCGGGTGGTTGGAGCCTCGGACTTGGCAAGAGGAGCTGTGGCTTCTTTTCCCAGCTTTGCTCCTGACTCACAGGGTGACCGTAGGTGGGTGACTTCTGCCATCCCTGCCACGGTTGTAAAATGGAGATAATGCCTGTCGGGAGCTGTTTGGAGACCTGTGGTTACGTCAGTTTATGTGGCAAGGTTTGGCTCTCTACCCTTCTAGCCCTGTAGCCAGCATAGTGGCCAGCACAGTCACCAGTGCTGCTGCGAACAGAACAGATTGTTACTCATGACAATCAGTTTTCCTCTCTCAAAACTTTGTGGCCAAATCAGTGATCTTTAATTAGAGCACAAAGCATTTAGGAGAATTTGGCTGTTTTCCCTTCCAGGATTTTGCAGCAAAAAAAGTCAGCAAAATGAAATGTGGGAGATGAAATGTGTTACAGATGGTTTTCTAGACTTTTTTCCTCAGTTGGGGAGATGCTGGATCCCAGGTTTGTTGTATGCTATGTAAGCAGTTGGAGCAAGTGAGTGGTTGAGTTGTAGGTCGATGTTACAGCACTGCTATCATGTGGCCAAGAGAAGAGTTAGATCTTTAACAAGTCATTTAGACCATAGTATTTGCCAAGCAGGTTGGGGCTTCATTGCACCAGGCATGAAACATGCCACAGATGACAATTGCTGTGCTAAAGAGCTCACAGTCTGAAAGTTTCTACTAAACGTGCACTGTAACTCTTCAGAAATGCACATTTACTATAAAGAAATATGCTCAGCTGCAGAGTTAAATGATACTTAACTTGGTATATTTTCTTTCCCCTTCCTCACACTGGCCTCTTATATCCTGGACCAAAACACACCTCCATCCTTATTTTTTTCATATCAAATATTTCCAGAAAAGATACTAACTAATTAAACCAGTAATAGTCAGTGACTTACATGATTACTTAAAGAAATTTACTGTATGCTATAGGTTTCCAGATGTGCTTTTGCACAGCATGGTACTCTGAGGTCCAGATGTGCTTCTACCTGCCCTGAATCATCTGTGACCCAGATGTGGAGGGCTGTTATTTTCAAGTACAGATGTTCCTTTTACACCACTTGAATCTCTAGACCTTCCCTGAAAATGGACATAACCAAAAAGCTAGATTAGTAACAAATTTCTGCTATGTCCAGTGAAACTGTCTTTAAAATGTGAGACAGATGCTGCTTCTCTGAAATGAACAGTGATTTTCTCACTGACTTCAGTGACAAATAAAGGGTTCTTGATTTAAAAAGATGAATGTGTGTAAAGACCCTGTGTATTAGTAAGCCAGAGCTAGAAGGGAAAACCTCTTAAGGTGATGTGTTTGCCCGCAAAACAAGCCACCCATTCTGCTGCAGCAGAGTTTCTCTGACTCCAGCACAACTGTACTGAGCTGAGTTCTGACACCGCATCCTCCCTGTGAAGCATTTTTGCTTCACAAGAAGCAGTGCATTTGCCAAGACATAAAAGCATTTTTGCGTTGCAGCAAGCTGAATGCAATGGCATTTGGTGGTGATTTCAGTATAAACAAGTGAGCTCCGATGGGATATTTGCCTCATACTCCTCAAACTGCTGCTACTTTCGAGCAGCTGTTGGGGAATCACAGCTGCCGTTCCCAGCTCTGAAAAGGAAAAGGCGGATTTTTGGATAATGATAGTATAGGAGCTGAACAAAAAGAGAGGACTGAAAAACACTATTAGTAACTTTAGGGAACTTTATTGTCAAGATAAGAATATGTAAGTCCTGTTTTATTCCTAAATTACCAAAGATTTACTCAAAAGAAAAAACTTTTCTCTGTGAGCACAGTGTTTAAGCAGATTCTGGCTCTGAGTCTGTCTGTGCAGTTATTCTGAAAGGCAGCAGTCAAGCTTGGTAGGGAAAAGAAATGAGTGCTCATTTAATGAGTGTCCTGTTTTTGTGACAGAGAAGGAAAAGGTGACACAGAGGCCAGATCTCTCACCTAGCTGAAAGGTTTCATATATCATATTCTTCCTTCTCTGTGGCTGTGAACCAGCGGCACATTTTTCAGTGTCCCAAGGGCAGGCATAAAGTTTTGGCCTGGCTGGGGTCCTTCATAGATCAACATCTGCACCACAGGGAACCGATAACCTGCACATCGCACATCTTTGAAACCCAAGCTTTGCTCCACGAGAGGCCTCTGGTGAACACTGGTGTCACAGCTAACGCTCTTCTTGGTGCGTCCCCTCTAAAATCTGCTGGGTCTGACTGTAGACTTGGTGAATATCAATGTAGTGCCTTCTACTTTATCCCCAGACAAAAAAAAAAAAAAAGCAAAACTCGGCTTACTTATTCCAGCTATACTTATTTGGGTTTGATAAGGGCCTCAGGAGGCAATAAATGTGATCCTGGGCTCAAGGCAGGGAAAAGGGAAAGGCAGAGGTCCAGGGCAAGTGAAGGTGGAGGAAGTAGGTGACCAATGAGCCATTGGTAAAGGACTTTCATGGCTGTAGAAGTCTGGCCTTGTGCAAAACTCCTGCTGAAATTTGGAAAGCAAGAGAAGAGGGACTGTGGGCAGCCCAACCCAGAGGTGAATTGGAGTTGGAAGTGTTTTTCCCAGCTGTAAAAATTCCTAATATTTCTTCTTTTTCTTCCTGAAGTGGTTTAAAAAAACCTGAAATCTCAAACACTGATACTTGGCAAAACACAAGAGGAAATCAGGCTGCACAAGTCAAAGTATCATGTATTAAATTTTTATATGTGCTCATTTCAGCTTCTACATCTTTTCAGTGTAAAATATATAACTCTGAAACACAGCCATTTCTAATAAAAAATGGAAATTTATTGAAATAACCCAAGTCAACAATGGGAAGTCCCTTCCCTGTAGCAATTTCAGCAGTGGGCTTTGAGACATCTCTTTCCTGCAAACAGTTCTGATTTTGATAGGTGGGCTTTTTACAATATGGGGAAAAAAATATCAGGAAACTACAGAAATAGTAGAAAAGTGGTGGGTGTATTATACATGGACAGAGTAGTTGTTTCGATGGACACCATCACAGTAGATCTGAGATTACTTGGCTGGGCTGCTTAACTCTTCCAACAGCCTTTCTCCCTATGGCTTTTCACCACGCAAGCCTCCTCTCCCATTTCTTTCGCACCCCAGGTAACCGGCTGGACGAGGGCTCTGACGTCGAATCCGAACCAGACCTGCCTCTGAAGCGCAAGCAGCGCCGCAGTCGAACCACTTTCACTGCTGAGCAGCTGGAGGAGCTGGAGAAGGCCTTCGAGAGAACCCACTACCCAGACATCTACACACGAGAGGAGTTAGCTCAGCGAACCAAGCTCACCGAGGCCCGAGTTCAGGTGAGGACTAGAGCCAGCGTGGGGCAGGTCAGCCTGTGGCACGGCTTCTTGCTTACCTCGGGGAAGGAGATGGTGGTGCTGGGGATGAGGGTGTTGAAAGGTGGTAACGTGGATGCCCTTCCCTGCACCCACATCCGCACAGATCTGAGACTTAAATCCAGTTCTGCAGATTCCCATGTTCCCATGGATTTGCAGATATGCCATTTGGATTTGGCCCGTTGCAGAGGTACCAGCTGGAGGGTTTCCATCCAGGTTGGGACCAGGAGCCAAACTTCCCCTAACTTGGCAAAGCATTTAGTTTTCTGTTTTCTGTTGGAGGAAATTCCTTCATTTGCCTCGAAGGAAGCAGTGTGTGTGTATGTTTGTATTTGGTGTTTTAGGAGAAATCACACCATTTACCAACCTTGCCCAGGGGACCAGATCATATTTTGCAAAGTTTGCAAGTTCTGTGTGTGAATTTTCAGGAAACTTTTTTTTTTCCTCGATCTCCAGAGAGCACAAAAAGGGCGGGGGGGAGGGAAGAAGAGGGGAGGAGCAGGAAGGGAGGGTTTGGAGCCAGGGGACTCTGACATCTACACGATTAATAGCCCTTGTGGGAACTCCACACAGAGACCCTTATGTCTTCCAGATAAAGGCTGGGTCAGCAGTGTGTGCAAACACGCAGAGGGATAAGGAGTGTGAACAGATCGGGGGGTATAATAGAGTCCCTTGGGGAACGGAAAGGAAAGGGGGAGGGATTGGGGATTGTGCTGGGTTAAAGAAGTGAAATGGAGACCCCAGCAGTCCGTCCTCCGTGTGGGCAGCGTGATTAGGTTTCAGGCTGAGCACTGGGGTCTCTCTGCACGCAGCCGAGAGTTGAATCACGGGCACTGAGAGAGGAGGGAAAGAGTACTCCGGGCTCGTGAGATGGAAACGGTCAGTCAATTAACCAGCTCCTCCAAAACAAAACAGGCTTTTTTTTTTTCTGTTGTTCTGTGGTTCTCAGGATAATGAGCTTGATGTGCTCACTCAGAAGCCAAAACCACCAAAAGTTTTTGCTGTTTTCTCCCAGCTGTCTGGGGATGGACATTCCCCCCTACACCTGGGACATTTACTGGTTACGGAGTTTTCCCATTAGCCGCCTTTCCCAAAGAGGTGATAAGCCAGTCACAGCACAGCAGCGGATGCCCTCTCACCTCCCTCCAGCTTTCTCTTGAGAGATACTGGATTTTCCTGAATCCATCATCCCTCAAGATTTGGCTATGGAGACTGCAAAGAGGAAATCTAGCAAACTTTATAGTGATTCTAGTTTTCATCTTAGCCAAAAGACTGTGCCAGTGTTCAACTGTAATTGTGTTAATTTGCTAGCCATGTAGGTTCATAGATGGAGCCTGGGAAAGTGGCTAATTAAGGTAACTGTGCTACCAAATGCTGGAACATGTGAATTCCCCCATTTTTGTTTTGCATATTCTGTTCCTGATTGCTCTTACTTGTGTAGATGGACATAAGATGTTAAGGCGGGAATAAAACCAGATGTTTCTATGTCAAACAGACTGAAAAGAAAGGAGTTTCAAGGGGGAATAGAATTTAGGTAACACCTTTTTATGGGGTGAGAGAAACCTGTGTTGCATGAGGGTGTGCTGGGGAGGAAGGGAAAAACCCCTGGAGTGCCAGGGAGTGCAAAAACCAGCGGCAGGTTCTCTCTTTTCAAGGCGCTGTGACCTCACTGTGACAAGGCTGGGAGAAAGGAGGAGGTGAAAGCAGAGAAAGGGAAAGCTAAATAAATAAATAAATAGAACCTTTCCGTTGTCTCAAGCTGTGATCTCCGAATCCCCCTACTTGCTCCCAGGCAGCTTGTGTGGAGGTTGCTGCCAGGGCTCTAGTAGCAGCTGTTCTCTGAGGCACATTCCTGATGGCTTTCTCATTCCGACATCCTGGCAGAGTCAGCTTCTTCCCACCACTTTTAAGCCTGCCGCCCCTTGTAAAATTTTCTGGATATCAGAGCAGATCTTTTACTGGCTCTCAGGATCTACAAACATTAGTCAATCAAGTTCTTGTGGAAAAAAAAAAAAAAAAAAAGAGAAGCCACACACACATCCACATTTGTACCCATCCACCAGGGAATCTTCTACCACCTTATAGTTTTACTCAGCAGAGGTTTTAAGGCCAAGAGACATGCTTTGGATTAAAGATGGCTGTAATAGCAGTAGTTCCAGCTGAGATCAGGGTTTCTGGATGTTAAGGGCCATGCCAACATCTACCCATCTATCTTGTCCCCAAAAGCTTATCATGTTAACATGTCAAATGGGAGGCAGATGTATGAAAAGTATTTTGTGACCCGTAGTCACAAACGAGACTCGAGAGCAGCCTTCACTGCTCCTCACTGTCTGGTCAGCACTTCATCCATCTTCTGGATCTCAGTGCCGCTTGTCTGCTGCACAGCCATGGCTGGCCAATCCCCAGATCACACCCAAATCTAAATCACAGCTCAGGTATTGCTGTTGGGGCTTTCTTACTGTATCATATATATACAACATCCTTGCACTAGGAACCTGTTTGGATAATCACTCTACAAGCACGGAGCCTGTCTATCTCTTTGCTTCTTTCTCCTCCTCACCTCTCTTTGTTTTACCGTGTGAAAGGTGAATTTACCTAAGTCTCATTCATTCTCTCCAATACCTGAGTATTCATGTACCGTAATCTCTTCCACGTGAAAATCTGATAGCTCTGTTAAACTTTATTGGCAGGCCTGAGTCTGGCTGATCATGCAGCTGTCCAGCTAAGTGGAAGTTTGACACGTTGACAGCTAATAAAATTCACAAGCTGAACAACAAGAGGGGGTGGTGGTGGGGGTGCAGTTCCAAGGTCTGGTTTCTCATCTGCTAGGAAGATCACAGGAGGGTGAGTAATATTTTTACAGGGTCGCTGCAGTGTTTGTGTGGTTGAGATGCAGGATTCCAGCATTCAGACTTCAACACCCCCAAAGGTATGAGCCATTAAAAGGTTAATCCCAAATTGAGCATAGCCAGTGACAAGACTGCCATGGATTTCCGGAAGGATCAGGATTACAGTGCCAAACCCATGCCCAGCGAGGCCACCAGTGGAAATTCCCACTGACTTGTTTTTGTGCAAGGCAATGTCTTTACTCATGTGTCCACACTAATTGTCCAGTACTGAACAAATTGTTGCCCGTCTGCGAGCTCCCATTTCTACCCTTCCAGAAAACAAGCTGTTGAATGCCAAGTGTTCATGGATTTTAAAATTAAGTCTAACAGCTAAGCAATTCACTTAGCTAATTTAATGGAAGCTTTGATTTTGATCTTGAATATATTCTGGGTTTTTACACCAGTTTTTGCAATTATCTAACTGATGTTGTCAGAGTTTTTATATGGAAAAAAAGCCCTAAACAGGATTCTGTGATAATTTTGAAGCTTTTTTCCCTGGCACTTCATGAGAAGGGACATTTTTCAGAACAACTCTTTTCTCATAAACAGTTTAGCTTTGTCAGTGTAGCGTTTTTCAATAGGAAAACTGTCTTGTCAGGAAATTCTTGTCTAAGTGTAGAAGTGACTTTTCAAAGCAATGCTAATGTCAAAAGAGACACCACCATCTGCCCTGGGTCTAGGAAGTTTAAACTAAGCTTTCTCCTAGATGATCCCATTTGTGGATCTGTTTGCCCAAATGTGTGGCATTTTTAAGGACAGTCATCAACAAACCCGGTGCTTATTTCTGTTTTCTACTTGAACAATACCAACAGAAAGAAATATAGAGTAAAACACAGCAGTGCCAAATTGTCCTCAGGTCAGCACCACAGTCCCAAGTCACTTAGAAATGTATGCACTGAAGATGTTTCTCACAAATAGATTTTGGTGCATAGGTTCCCATGCAAGCAGCCCGTCTTTTTTTGTGGTGCTATAATGAGTCAGATGTGGCAGGCTCCAAAATACTATCTCAAAAAGCTTTCCCAGAAATCTACCTAAACTGTTCCCCCAAAATAGATGGCACCTTTTGCTTGTCAGCATCACCTGCAGGTGATTCAGATGGTCATACCACAGGCAGCTGGGTACAAGCGAGTACGTTAATCCTAGTTCCTATGGCCTGGGCGGTGGGTGATTTCTGGAAATAAATAAGAAGCGTGAAGGGGTGGGTGTGTTATGACGATGATGTCTGTTATTAATCCCCAGGAAATTCCATGCACTGAGAAACGGTTATTTCAATAACAAAATTAAACTAGACAGCAGGAGTCGCAACCCAGTGCTTTATTGATCATTTTTATGATGGATACCATTGTGATTTCTGCCTGGGAGAAAATGGATGTTTCATTTAATAAAACGGCTCAGACCAGTTCTGTCTCTGAAATCCTGGTGCATTTCTAGGCTACTCACATAATATGTATTTTATGACACAGTTTCAAGCTGTAGTAAACAAACAGCCATATTCTAGATCGTGCTGCAGTGGCTCAGGCATGCCAAACGGAGCGCCAGAAAAAAAATGCCATTCAATTTTGCTTGAAATTTTTCACAAAGCAATCCAGTTCTCAGTGAAAAGAAGATGAAAACCACCATTTACCAGCAGTACTCTGCAGTCCAGTTTCCAGAAAATACATGGATTTCTCAGGAACTTCTCAAATATCTCTGTTGTGTGCTAGTGGGGACCCAAGTGCTCTTTCACCAGCTGTCAACTGTGGTCAAAGGTCTATCCTGTTCCCTGAGATGGTGCTTTTTGAAGATGAAGGTATACTAAGGGACGATAGGGTGGTAAGCAGGTCTCTCCCAGCTCTGAGCATTAACTGGGGTCATGCAAAGCTGCTGGAGCCTAATGCTGTTTGCCTGGTGTTTTGCCTCCCAACCTCTTTGAGATGTGTCCAAACTGGCTCTTCTGAGGCAATCCCCCTCCCTTAAAGGTCAGCTGAGAATGTTTTCTTTCTTCCTGAGGCTCTGACTAGTTTACATTTCTTGTGAAGAGGGCTGTGATGAGGTTATGACACAACAGCTGCCCTGTGTTTTTGGCAGCAGCCAGGG